CGGGCACCCTCCGTTCTTCTGCATGGGTACAGGGACGCCTTTCGTTCTCTTGACCCCCCTTTTTCTTTTCGTCTTCGCCTTTGGACCTTCGTACCACCGCGCCTCTCTTGAGTCTTGATATCATTATTTCTCCTGACATTTCTTTCTTCCTTGTTTCTTTTTTTGTTGTATCAGGGGTATCTATCACATTCCTTTCGACGACAATTCGCGCTGCTGCTGCGTTCTTGCCTTTTCCTGTCGGCATGGCGTGCCTCCTTTGGTTTTATTCTTTATTTTAGCGCAGAGGAAAACAGAACGCCTGCCCTATTCGCTCCTTCCCCTTGTTATGGACCACCGCTCGCGGAGAACTCTCTTTCTTGGTGGATCCGTAGCATGCCCTTTGTACCATCATGTTACACGTACGATTATTGTAAGTCCCTTCTGTCTTAGTGAATACCCTGCCTGCCTGCCTGTGCATCGCGGAATTTGGAATGCAAAAAAAATCCAAATAAATTTGTTAACGCCGCAAATGAGAGATTCGATAAATTTTTTAGGTGGAGACAAAGCCGGGGAAGCTTCCGCCGCACAATAACACGTTACAGACTGCACAATTGCAACTCATTACAGCTGCGACAAGTAACAGGAGGAACAGTCCTAGAACACACGCTACTCTCCACAGCTATTGTCCTTTGCTTTCGTTTTTGTCTTTGTCTTTCGCGTTGCGATGCTAGCAAATGATGTCGATGTCGAGGTCGGTCTTCCAACGGTCTTCCTGCATGTTCTTGTGGGTCGATATGTGACGGACACGGAGGTATGTACCCACTCCTGGCGTCGGCACTGGCAGATGCCAACAAACGCTAGCAAGACACGTCAAATTTCATCATGCCCCTTCAGTCGAACCGGTAACGGACCGCACACGCGCTGCGTGGACCTCGTGTGCTTCGGAGCCGCCGAAAGACAAAAAGCCCACCCAACTTGGAGAGGGCTGGAGCAAAGCAAAGACAAAAAGCAAGCCCGGAGGCAATTGCTCGTTTGGGGTGCACAGGTGGGAGGACCGTAAACGCGGCCTCCGAGAATTTCGCTCCTGCCTTGTCCTCTTTGAAAGGAGTGCGTGCGCAAAATAGCAGGGCAGGGTCCCTCCGGAGCCTCCTCTGGCATGTCCTCGGCTCCGACGAGAGGGCTCGGTGTTGGCTTTTTGAGTGCATAGGGATCCGGGGTTGGTATACAGTAGAGTATATTGCGAAGCACGGAAAGCGTATTGTGTGGAACATTGGCGGAAATACTTTGAGAAAGGGGCTGGAAACTTTGGGCGAGTGGGAGTCCACATGACGCCACCTCATACATTATACCGAGCGGTACTCGGGGGCACCCCAGAATCCATCGAATAAATTTCAGATGGTCGTCGGTCGTTCAGGAAACCTGTCATCGTGCGCGAGCTGGATAGGGGGCTCGACAATCGCCAGCCCGGGCACGAGCGCCTGGTCTGGCAGGGCGTTGTTGTGCCACTGTGATGACAGCGACAGCGACGCATTGTCCTGCGCGGAGGGGATGAACGGTGCCTTGAATATAAAAAAATAAGAAAGGTTCGACGTCAGCGTCAGTCCGGGCAGGCAAGTGAGAACATCCTGAGGAATGGGGTTGGGACGTCACTTACCCGGTACTCCCGCCTGCGCATCCTCTCCCAGTCGACTTTGGAAAGCCAGGGGTGGGCCTTGACTTCCTGGACCTCTTTGGTGCCCAGTCGGCACTCTGGCTCGGGCTCGAGCAGCTCATCTACGAGGGAAACCGCCCGTTTGCTAACCTGGACCCGAGATGGCCACTCGAGCTCTTCATACGCCTTCAGGATCGTGAGTATCTCGTGTGCTTCACAAAATGCCTAAGAGGTAGCGGGGTTAGCGTTATTATGGAGGCTACTCAAACCAAAGGGAAAGCAATGGAAACTAACCATCTCGCCGGTAAGGAGCTCGTACAGAATGCAGCCTGCAGCCCACCAATCCAGCGCATGGGGGATGTCCTTCGGGTGCGCGTCGAGCTTCCTAATCCCCTCATGGCACTCCGGCGCCATGTAAAAATGCGTCCCGAGGCCCATCCACACGACCTCCTCGTTCGGGCACCGCACAGACGTCCCAAAGTCCGTCAACACCAGATACCCATCCGGCCCAAGGAGGAGGTTCTCCGGCTTCAGGTCGCGGTGCACGATCTTGTGGCTGTGGAGGAACTCGAGCGCGCAGACGATGTTGGAAAAGTAGAAATTCGCGTCACGGGCGGAGAGGCCCAGGTTGTGTGAACGGAGGTGCGCGCGCAGGGTGGGCCCGGGGATGTACTCGAGTCCAAGGTAGAGGTTTTGGGTGTCGTGGAATGTTTGGAGGAGCCCGGCGATGAAGGGGTTCCAGGGGAGGAGGGCGAGGTTGCTCCGCTCGGGGTCGTCTATCGAGAGCTCCTCGTCGGACGGTTGGAAAGCGTGGAAGATGGCTTTTTTGCGGATGTCTTTTCTTGGAATAGCTTTCAACGCGAAGAAAGTTTCTCTGTCTAGACGATGGGTCTTGCGTTTTGTCCGAACGAGAAGGACCCGGTATTGCCCTTGGCCTACAAGAAAGAGCATAAGTCCGACGAAATAGTGATAGAGAAGAATGCGAACCAAGGGTCTTGATGCATTCCAAATCCCGCAAGGTCAACGGCGGTGGGCGTAGCGGTGTAGGCATCGGAATAACACTTGGATCCAGTACCGTAACAAACTAGGATGTTCAGTCGTTAGCACACAGCACATTTACTTATGCAACTTGTAATCGTGCCACACACCTCTGGATCAAGGTTTTTCTTGAAGGACGTTCGGTAAGGCCGACTCAACATGTCGCCTGGGATAGTAAGGTATTCGTATTTGATGCGCTCCTTTTCAAAATACGGTTCCTTTCGCGTCTTGCGCGAACGTGGCTTCGCTTGTTTTGGTGTGGGGATGCGAGGCATGCTGGTGCGAGCGTTCAAAGGAGAAGAAGGGGCGAATGGGTTGAGACGGGTGGTCGTGGTTCGGGATAAAAAGGTCGATTATTTCAACCTGGCTGGTCTTGTTGTAAGGAGGGCCACAAGTGCCACTGCCGCGCCGGAGGTGGGCCAGTGGCCATTGTTCACTCTTCCGAGAACAAATAGCCTGGGTAACGCAGGAGAACAGAGTAAGTAAAGAGAGCCCCTTGAAGTATCGGCGTTTGCGACAACCAGTGAAGGTTTCAAAAACACCAGAAAACAGGAAAGGCGGATCGCTGGTTGAGGTGTTCAAGTCGAACCACGACGCGTATCATGAATTGATCGCGGATATCTCTCCAACGTCATGTCAGCCAAGTCCAAGTCAAGGCAAGGCAAGGCCAAGCCACTTCGCTCAGTTCATTCTCAGCGTCACCTACTCTCACCCACCTTCACTACAGCACGCTATTTTTATGGCTGAAGCGCTGAACAGCAAGGAGGCTACCGCGCCGCCGCTGGGCAAGCATAGGTAGATGATACTTGGAATGGAGAATACACAGCCGGCTGTTGATGTCATCCGACTTTGGTGTCTGTGCGTTGAAAACCCTTCTCGATCCTCGACCACCTGCATCTAAGTTCCAGCTTGCCAGTGTAACCCCCCGACCTCAATATCTAGGCGACCTCACTTTGAATTCTTCATGGCCGACATCCTCCATACCAGTCCGAACGACTGGAAGTACGTCTCTGAAGGCGGCGCCACTATCGTCTTCTCGTATAAAGGACCTCCAAACCCGGATTTCGACGGCACGGTCCTGCGGTTGAGAAAATCCATCGTTCCCGCTAATGGCGCGAAGAGGGTTGCCCACGCTTCGTTCGCCCAAGAGGAGCCCGATGACCCAACCATCGAGTACCAGGCCAAGTGCATGGAGAAACTCATACCTCCCGAACACCTACCTCGCCTGGAGACTGTATTTTTGAACAAGGAGTGGCTCCGTAAATTATCTGACTTGAAGGACGCCCTTCGGCCAGAAGGACGGAGAGCAAAGGATGAGATTGATCTTAACAGAAAGAAGGGCGTTCTCGCGACAGATCTGGTGGGCGGAAATTGGGTCGCAGTTGAAATCAAAGTAAGTTTTTATGCATGTGGTTTATGGTTAGATCTTGACCTCATATCTCGTGATTCCCCAGCCAAAGTGGGCTTTCTTGCCTTCTCCGACACATCTCTCAACGGAAACGAAAAGCGTCAAAACACAAACTTGTCGGTTCTGCATGCATTCACATCTCCGTTCACAAGAAGGAGAGAAAGTAGTCACCGATTACTGTCCCCTCGATTTATTCTCTGGTCAGAAAAGTCGTGTCCTCAATGCTATCAACAGCCTGTGGAACGCTTGGCTCGCGAGCGAGGCGACTGTCAATAACCTCAAGATCTTTTCCCGGGGAAAGTTTCTGCGACCTTCTGAAGTCAGTTATTTCCAATTTATGCGCTCGAGCTTCCTTCTTATTCGTGTTCTCCAGGCTCATGCCATGTTGGCCGACAACACGAGTAAGGAAACACAACTTGACACAATCCGCGACACGTTCGCCGCTGCTTTGGTTCGATACTTGCTTCAGACCCCAGTTTTAAGCATTTTGTCTAGGCTGCAACGCAATCTTGATGTCCTTGACATCGAAGGACTGTCCAAGCTTTGGAAATTCACAGAATCGTCAGCACCCCTCTACCGCACGACATTTGCTTCATTCTTTGAGCAGACGTCGGACAGCCCCTCCTCGGCCCCTCCTTCGACACCGCTAGGCGTGAGCTCGCTTTTCCTGAATGCCCCAGAGCCTAGCATTCCCGATTGGATAGATTTCCTGGACAAATACCTTTCCTCTGATCGTCCAGAACTGGATCATAATAATCCATCTCCAAAGTACCTCCATTACTACCTACTCGCCTACCTTCTTTCTGCGACCTTCAAGGATTGTTCTATCATTATTCGGATGGACATGCTCGAACCTGGAACCGAGCCCACAGCGGACATCAGACCTGAGTCTGTCACCGTCATCGATCTGGATCCGAAAAGCATGGACAAGCTTAGAGGTTGGGAGAAACTAGACAATGACATTGTCCGCACCTATTCCTCTGCACAGAAGAAAGTTTGTGTCGACGAGTGGCAAGCGCCGAGATAAGCTGTTGCACAGAATGAGATCCGAGGCTGCTTCATCATGCCAGCAAATTCCCGTTTGACAGAATTACTTATTTCCTACGTAGCCTATTTCTTTGCTATCCTCTTCCCGTTATACCCCATGTTTGACCTACACAATCGCTTGTATGCACATTGCAAACTGTTGTTGGAATTTACGCAGGAACCTAACCTGACACTAGGGTCAGCTTTCCGGTTATGGGCTCTCCGCTACAATAACTCTCCGAGTCCGTCAATGTGTGAACTCAAGCGAAGTGCAACATCCGGGTCTTACTCAACCCACTACCATTCTTTCTCGCACCAACCAACCTAGCTCTGTACGCCTCCTCTCCTCCTTCTCAATCTAATGACTCCCCTACGACTTCCCAATCTTCTTCGCGCGAACAGACAAGGATATCGAACACAACTCTCCGGACGGAGCATCGCGGTCAACAGACTGAAGGTCCAGATACGAAATGCTTCGTTCTATAACGCTGATGTTGCCGGACTTACAGAGGAAGAAACCGAGGTATGGCATTGGACAATCGTTATTCGAGCCATGCTGATTACCGCTTTCCTAGTTCCGCGACGCAGTCACCGAGTTCGCCCAGAAAGAGATTGCTCCTCGCGCGGCTGAGACAGACAAAACCAATACGTTCCCGGCGGTAAGTCTAATATCTTAGTCCGCCCATGACGCGCGTCTGACTACTATCTGACAATGTAGGATCTCTGGGAGAAACTAGGTTCTATGGGACTTCTGGGCGTCACTGTATCTCCGAAGTATGGAGGGTTAGCCTTGGGATATTTGCATCACACTCTTGCAATGGAAGCGTTGTCAGCAGCCTCCGGCTCAGTCGCTCTCTCCTACGGGGCTCATTCCAACCTCTGTGTCAACCAACTCCATCGTCACGGAACAGAGAAGCAAAAACAGAAATACCTCCCTGACTTGATCGCTGGAATCAAGGTCGGAAGTCTTGCCATGAGTGAAGCAGGAAGCGGCAGTGACGTAGTCAGCATGCGTCTAAACGCCAAAAAGGTGGATGGTGGCTGGGTGCTTAATGGAACGAAGTTCTGGTAAGGGTGTTGCACATGAGAGACTAAGAGGCGCGTTCTAAATGATGTAACAGGATTACGAACGGCCCAGTCGCCTCTACTCTCGTTGTTTATGCCAAAACCGATCCTGAGAAAGGATCGAAGGGAATTACGGCTTTCATCATCGAGCATGGCTTCAAGGGGTTTTTCACGAGCCCTAAACTGGATAAATTCGGAATGAGAGGCAGCGACACATGCGAGCTAATCTTTGAAAATTGCGAAGTCCCAGATGGTACGTGTATCCTTGCGTGTTGAATAGTTAGATTGCTGAGTTGTATATGTATATGTAGCCAATGTTCTCGGACAAGTGAACAGAGGGGCTGCTGTCCTCATGTCGGGCTTGGACTTGGAGAGAATCGTTCTCAGCGGAGGCCCTCTCGGGTATGTCTTATAGACGCCCAAGAAACGCGCTTCTCACTGTGTGCACAGGTTAATGCAAGCAGCTTTCGATTATGCTGTTGAATACGTACACGATCGAAAGCAGTTCGGAGAACCAATCGGTACTTTCCAGTTGATGCAAGGTGAAGAGAGATTCTCAACTCGAAGTTTCCCCAACTTAATCTCGGTTCCCCACAGCCAAGATAGCCGATATGTACACGAAGCTGAATGCCAGTCGGTCGTATGTTTACGCGGTTGCCAGAGCATGCGACCGGGGGAAAATTAGTCGGAAGGTCAGTTTTCCGTCATTCTCGATCTCGATCGAGGAAATTGCAGTTGTACGCGACGTTAATTCCTGGTCACTGACTTTATGTATTTTTATTGTAGGACTGCGCAGGTGCTATCCTGTATTCGACTGAGAAAGCCGTAGAAGTTGCTTTAGAGGGCATGCAATGCTTGGGAGGAAATGGCTACATTAACGGTGCCCATTTGTTCTTGTTTTTTTTTGTTTCACTTCACTCGAGATTGACTTTTTTTTGCCGTGTTCTTCGCCATTTTTAGATTACCCGATGGGTCGCATTGTTCGTGACGCCAGATTATATACGGTTGGCGCTGGAACACAGGAAATTCGGCGCATGCTCATTGGACGAGAGTTTAACGATCAATTCAAGGACTAGGTGCTGTGCTTAGGCTCAGACATTTTTCCTGTGAATAACTCGCCCGACCATGGTACGTTATACCATATACCCTTTATATCTCTCGAGGCGTTGAAGGCATCCATTAGCAGGCAATGTATCAATTTTGAACCGCGTACTATGTATATTTCTGCAAAATTAAGGCCATAAAAGGTTTTTACGAATTTAGCTTCTAACTTCACTTCTCCATCAAGTGGGCGCGGCCACTACAAGCTGAATCTTTCCTGAGGCAACTTACGAATACTGCGGAGTGTGAACAACCTCTTTTGGCACGAATAAGGTTCTTCGGAGGGTTGAATGGTAGCAACATGTTGACAAAATGTGTGCTCAGCCACATTCTCGATCTCTTCCCCGTCGATCGCCTGCTTTTTGAGGGCACTAATTTATTATATAACACGAAGGCCTACATGTTTTCCGCATCAGAGAAAAAACCGCCACACTCATATTTTCAGCCAGGTGCTACTTCGACCACATTCCAATCCTTACAAAAATACCCCGTCAGCCTCGTTCCTTGCGCACTTCCTCTTTCCTATGGATTTCCAGGACGACGACTTCGCCCTCTCGGCCGCGAGCGAACGAGACAACCTCGCTTATGGCCCCAGTGGAATCCGAGACACTCACTCGACCGAAGACACCAGCCGGCAAGGCTGGTTGACAGACACCAGCGACTTCTCGCAGAGGGCAAATAGCGAGTCGCCATCATTTCCTTCCACTCCATCGGCCCAGCAAACACCGACGTCTACACCACCGCAGGCTACGCTTGAGCTGCACATCGTGAAGCCGACAATCCCTTCCGTCCGCCAGCGAACGGCTCAGGCATGCGATAAATGTAGGGAGCGGAAGACCAAGGTATGCAGTATTTTTTTCTTAGCTTGGTCGTTGATCTTACAGTGAAATGACAGTGCTCAGGGCACCGCCCCGTTTGCGTCCGCTGCACAAATCGGGGTCTCATTTGCCAATACTCTACTCGAGAGATGTCTCGAATACGTGGACCCATTAAGCCCAGGACGCCCATTCCGCTGAATCGAATATCACCCCACGACCCTCTAGATGCGTATTTTCCTGGACAGGGTAGACCGACACCGGCGCTGCACTCGAGGATGGGCGGGTGTCGTACAGACGCCTTTGTCCGCCCGTCGGGCCCTTCCCCACTGACCCTGGGTGCTCTGGGGCAGCGTCACGTCAGCCGCTCTCTGCAGCAGGTCCCTACCAGCTGGAATGAACCGGCTCAACCTGGCCTATCTGAGCTGTACTCTTCGACGCCTGGGCAGCAGCTTCCTGACAAGGGCGACCTGGATCTCTCCTTGAACTATGGCTATACTCTGCCTAGTCAGTCGATTTATCGACCAACGGCCGACCCGCAACACCTAGCATCAGCAGCAGACCTGCACCGTCCATACTTGCCAGTGCCCGAATTCAGTCTCCAGATGTCGTCGTAAGCGGTCGTTTTGCACTACATCCTCGGCCGCTAATTGACGGTCGCTACAGGTTCGTCCCTTCTGGTCCCAGCCTGAGGGTGCAGACATTCGACGGTGATAGGGATTTCTCGTCGATCGCTTCGTCGTCAGGAATGAGTACGCTTCCAGAGCAACTCGTGCCGCATGGTCTTCCCTCGTACTCTCAGGACACCCTCCCATTTAACGCCCCTTATACACGAGCGCTACCAGCTACCATGGGTGCTTATTGGGGTTCGCCTTCAGCTCTTGCTGAGGATTACACCAATTGACAGCCCCTTTGTGTAGATATCAACGCCGAGTTTGAGAACATTGCAGACCAGCTAGACGTCGGCGAAACGACGACGAATTATCTGGTGTTTGATTCGCCCGACTCTGGTTTCGAACTCGAGCTGGACGTCGCGTGCCCGGCACCTATCGTTCCCTTCTTTGCGGACTTTCTCGAGGATGTAAAAATGGGACATCGCACCTCGGGACAGCACGCACGATTTTCTGTCCTTTCTCGGGCATTCGGCTTTCCTTGAACCCTTGATTGTTTCGTAATTCTTGAGTCTGCTATTATTTCCAGCTGCTCTTATGACCGGCTTTTGGCGCTTATGGTTTGCTATGTACATACTCTGCATATATACGTTACACCTCTGGTAGGCATATGATGCTCGTCCATGAACTATTATTCTCTCCCGCAGTGCCGTCGTACACATACATACAGTCTTTGATGTGATACTTTATTGTGTCTATAATGCCTTTCAAACACGAATGCATGGCTCAAACGCTGATACGATTCTCGTGGAAAATAAGCATTATGATTTATTCAAAGGTATTACACATCTTCTTCAGGCGTCAACACAAGAGCGTAATCTTGACGGGATCTCGTTGGCCACACCAGACACAGAAACAAAATTCGCGCTCAGAGTGGTCCACGTTCAAGATCTTTCGAATTTGCTTTGAAGATCAATTTTGAGCGCTTGATGGCTGAATAGGCTTGCGCGATTTGTTGGCTGCCAGGTTATGCCAAGGTTGTGCATGCCAAGGGTGGGATGACTAGGGTGTCACCACGGCATTCGAAGCGCCGAAAAGGTGGTCACACTTCTGGCAGGGCCAGATGTTATCGTCGGGAAAATGCAATCTTCTGTTTTTAAAAATGTATTCCTTTTGGAGTACCGGCGGTACTCCATTTAGGTGCTCGGTACTCCATATAGTAATGCATTTTCGAAGCTCCAAAATTTAAAAACAGAAGATTACATTTTCCAACAGGGAATATCTGGCCCTGCCAGCAGTGTCACCTTGAGGAATCGCGCGCAACCTTATTGAGGCACGGGTGTCGTCGGGAAGCAGCAGCGACTCGGAGGACTACTATCCCTTTCCAGGTGTTTGCGGATTTTTGAGTGTCAGATGTGTATCTCTCCTCTCGGTCACTCAAAAATTACCAAACTTACAGGGAGTGTAGGCTTTTGTCTTGGTTACTAGAAAATGCAAAAGTATCTGGAAATTTTAAGAATTGAGGCCAGCGGATGCTTCCCGATCACGAGAAGTCATGAATTCTCGGTGTTTGCGGAAAACGTCACTCGAAGTCACACCGGCATGTGGATGTCGGCTTCACGGCATCACGGCTGTGCAACCTGTCAAAATTTCTTCAAGATGGACTCTCGTCGCAGAGCAATGGATTTACTCATTGCCATCAAAAGTGATTTCGACCATTATTTTGGCCACAGCTCAGGACTTTGTCAACATGCTTCAAGTATTATTTTATATTCTTAACATACTCATAGGCTACACTTTCAAGGTGCTTAGAGATTAGCAAAACCTTGTTGAGATCATTAAAAACAACATTTTCACCAAAATGCATGAAGCACAGCACCTGAGGAAAAAATCCTCTGACCTTCATTATTTTATGAGGGGTACTTCTAAGTCACCAATCATCCAAACAAGTTTAATTGTGTTCAATCGTCAAGTCATTCCTAAGATATAAATACCAAAACATGGCCATTTTCCGCATTTTTAGGGGTTTTCACACAAATTACCTCAACTTGCTGGCCTCATATACCTCTATAATGAAGCAGATCCCTTGACTTCATGTACGTCTGTTTGTATGTCTGCTTGTGCCTGTTTTCCCATTTCGTCTCTCCTCCCTCAGACACTTTATTGTTCTACCCCTGGGTCATCAGGCAATGTCCTATCCTCGATTCCCCTCAATGCTTCTTAATTTTTTCTCTTCCCCTCCTATTCCGTTAGTCTATGTATCCTTATTTTCTAGAGTATTGCATGACGGACAATTATTTAATACCGCACCCTACACACCATTGTAACTTTTGATCCTCTACTTCCCTGCTCCTCTATTCCCTTTCTCTCCCTCCACATGCGTTCATCTTCATCTCTCATCCCCTGTTTTTTTCTCCTTTCACATAAGCGCTTGCTCGGCTGCACTGCACGTGTCTATCGTGTCAACTCTGCTCTTTCACATGAGCCACAGGCTTGCCTTTCCGAGTTCCATTAACCCCAGACTTTAGTCTCTTGAGATTCCACCCCTTCCAAAATGTCAACTTTTGATCGTATGACACAGGGCTTTGCATATTCTCAAGCCGCCAGTCTCCAAGTCAAGTCCTTGAGTTTCGTTCATTTTTGCGCCATGATCCTACAGGAATTCGAATTTCATCCAAAATTATTCTTCTGAGATTCTGCTCAGTGGCAGATTTTGTTTATGGCCGAAGCGAAGCGAGGCAAATATCTTGTATCCCCTTAACCATGTCTTTGATCTTTTTCATTTTAGCTTTTATATACTCTCCCTAAGTATATCTACATATACATGCATCTTATAGATTTTTTACAACCTTCCTTGAAGATGTGAAAAAATTGCTCAAGCATAAATTTCGCATTTTCTCACCTCTGGGATGGACATCCTGCATTCTGAGAGCACTATTATACTAGCCTAGTACATTTGAGATATGGAGAATATTTTCATGATCCAGTGCTAACCCGAACCCTGAGAACCCCAGGCCGAAATCACTTTTGGTGGCAGTGAGTATATGTGCAAGCAAGACAAACTATTGAGAGTAAAGGTATTATAGTAGATTATCATTGTAGTATTGGTAATGATTCATAATAGAGTGTACCTTGGGGTGAGGAGGATAATAAGGATGATAGCGCTGCGGAGATCAGGGATCCATCCTTGAAGGTCCTGCAATCGGTTGCACAGATGGGATGGGAGCATTCTCAGAACTAGGAAGATTAATGGGGGCACCATCGGGTGCTTGAGGCCGAGTACGACCACGGTTGAAGAGGCTTCTCGCTGCAGGCTTTGGGTTTTGTCATGTAGAGTAGGAGAAATTGAGGGATTTGACAGTCACGTATCCTTCATTCTGCTTGAGGACTGCCCCTGAACCGTCATTGTTCAGGCGGAGATCAAAAATAATCACAACTGTCACCCTTTGAATAGCCATTTCTGCGAATTGTCAATTATCTGCGCAAGGCTCTCAGCTCTGCCTCTGAAATTTTGTACGGTGGTTCGGATGCTGATGGTCTATAGTCCTAGGAAGTTTGGTATTTTTAGGGAAAGCTTGAGGTGCTGCCATCACACTCGACATTCGGTTACACTACCCTATTTTGGTGTCATCAAAAACTCATATCTTGAATTTTGGAACGAGATCTGAAGCTTTCCCTTCGAAAATTGGATAGGCCTATTAGTATGGGCAATAAAGATTTATTGGATTTTTTTCAGGATGATACAACAAAGGAGTGGAGCCCAAAACCGAAAACGCAAACACCCCGAATCCGCAAACACCTGGAAAGGGATAGTACTTAGTGGAAGAATTTTGTGATGACTGTCCCTTTTTCGAAGCTTGAGACGCATATGTCGAACAGACTCGGGTTCTTTTTCTCAGAGTATCTCGTGTCCGAGTCCTTACTGGGTGTAAACCGGAATTCTAATCCAAGCTAATCCAGGTGGGTCGGGATTATTCAAAATATTCAATCCAGTCGCAGGCTTTTTCTGCACGTACTACATAGCTTTTATCTTATAGGTTTTGGTGCTGCAAAGTACATTGGTCTACGCGAGTTAAGTACTAAACTTTCACATTTACTTAATATTTCCCCCAGTCAGCAGGGAACCCAACCCTTTGATCACCTTTCCCGCCCCAACGAGAATTGCCCCAGCAGTATACACAGAACCAACAACGACCCCACCAGCCAGCATCAGAGGCGCAGAAATAAGCATCCCGAGTCCTTCAAGAAGAGGTTTCAAGATGTTCTCCTTCTGCTCAGGGGGTGCATTCTCATAGTCTTCAGCCTTCTTATACCAATGGCGACGGGTCTCTTGATCCGGGTATGCGTCCCCAACAGTGCGCATGGCGGGAGGTATCTGACTGTCGATGTTACGGACGGTTGTGTCGTCTGGCTGGCTGCGAGCTGCCGGATGCCGATCGAACAGCTCTTGGAGAGCCCTCCTTATCCTTATCTTCTCTTCTTGGTCTGGGTCGTATTTCGGTGGGTCACTGCCGTCCATCGCGATGGCACCAGATAATGGGAGTGGCGATTTGGGGTGTCTTCCTTGTGTTTCAAACGCTCAGCTAGTGAAGGGCAAGGAGAGCTTGACGGACGCCTATAGTCAGCCTGGATCTTATGAATGCCGATCTACCGTTGAGAAGCGTGCCAAGGTGTTATCTCAGAGAGAGAGTAGCGATCAAATTCTGCGGTGGAATTATAAGTTGCAATGATTACTCTCCAGACACGAATTATACAACATAGCTGAGGAGACGCCTGCCAACTTCCAAGTGTGTTAGGTGATGTTCAGGCTGAATGGCAATTACCTACAGTGGCCACAAGGAGCTCCTACACTAGTATTCGAGTGCTAGTGGTCGAGGGCGTCACTTCGACTCACTATGCGAAAGTCACCATAGTGTGTGCGTGTGTGCATGTTATGTAAGGGGAAGGCGTAGTGGAGACAGCGAAGGTTTTGCATGATGACTTCGTAGAGACCAGAGCAAAAATTAGGATGTTTTTTGGGGAAAAAAGACATCCAAAAGCCAGAAACGCGTCTACAAGACGAGGAAGCGAGGGGATAGTTAGCGGTGCGCGGCCGCAAACGGGGGAAGCCGGGAGTGTGTGAACTTTAATTTCTACGTGTCGGGATTTGAAGGCGACTGGATTTTCAGACTCTCAACCAAATCCTCTACCACCACCATGCTCACCACCCGCGGTGCCGTTGCACGCCTCTCAAAGAGGGCCTTCAAGAGCGCGAAGCAAACGAACGCGTTCTTCTCCTCTGCTGCCCTTGCACACAGGGCGACCCTCCCTGCTCAACAGCACCAGCGTCCCGCTGTCCCCCGTGTCTCCCCTACCGCCCCCTCAGTCTCTGGTACGACTTTTTCTCATATTTCTCCCATATCTCCGTGCGTTTCCTAACTCCTTCGCGTCCTCAGCCCGTACATATGCGACAGAGGCAAAGGGTGCGGCTGGCCACGTAAAAACCGTCATCGGTGCCGTCGTCGACGTCCAGTTCGAGACTGACAACCTCCCTCCCATCCTCAATGCCCTTGAGGTCCAGGACTTCTCCGGAGGCCGTCTCGTCCTCGAGGTCGCGTCTCATCTCGGTGAGAACTCCGTCCGTACCATTGCCATGGACGGTACGGAGGGTCTTGTCCGCGGCACCAAGGTTGTTGACACTGGTGCTCCCATAATGGTTCCCGTCGGTACTGCTACCCTCGGTCGTATCATGAACGTCATCGGCGAGCCCATTGACGAGCGTGGTCCCATCAAGGGTGTCAAGCTCTCCCCCATCCACGCCGAGCCCCCTCCGTTCGTCGACCAATCCACCACCGCTGAGGTCTTGGAGACCGGTATCAAGGTCGTCGATCTCCTCGCGCCTTATGCTCGTGGTGGAAAGATTGGTCTCTTTGGAGGTGCCGGTGTCGGCAAGACTGTCTTGATTCAGGAACTCATCAACAACGTCGCCAAGGCTCATGGTGGTTTCTCCATCTTCTGTGGTACGTTTTCATCTTTCACGTTCTCTTTCTTTATTGCCTGACTAACTTGAACAGGTGTCGGTGAGCGTACCCGTGAGGGTAACGATCTCTACCACGAAATGATTGAGACCGGTGTCATCAACCTCGAGGGTGACTCCAAGGTCGCTCTCGTTTTCGGTCAGATGAACGAGCCTCCTGGTGCCCGTGCTCGTGTCGCTCTTACCGGTTTGACCATTGCTGAGTACTTCCGTGATGAGGAAGGCCAGGATGTGTTGCTCTTCATCGACAACATTTTCCGCTTCACTCAGGCTGGTTCCGAAGTGTCTGCTCTTCTCGGACGTATCCCCTCTGCTGTCGGTTACCAACCCACTCTCTCAACGGACATGGGCGGCATGTACGTGGTCTCCTCGCATATAGTTGAGCATAATATCCTAAATCTTCCGTTCATGCAGGCAAGAGCGTATCACCACCACTAAGAAGGGTTCCATCACCTCAGTACAGGCCGTCTACGTGCCCGCTGATGATTTGACTGATCCCGCCCCGGCCACCACCTTCGCCCACTTGGACGCCACCACTGTATTGTCTCGTGGCATTGCTGAGCTTGGTATCTACCCTGCTGTCGACCCTCTTGACTCCAAGTCGCGTATGCTGGACCCTCGTATTGTACGTGTCTCTGTTGCGTCGTATGATGTATGTTAACTCTAATGTTCACAGGTCGGCCAAGAGCACTACGACGTTGCCACTGCTGTGCAAAAGATCCTCCAGGACTACAAGTCGCTGCAGGATATCATTGCCATTCTCGGAATGGACGAGTTGTCTGAGGAGGACAAGCTGACCGTAAGTTTTGTTGTGTCGGAATTTCCACGATGAGGTGCTTAACCGGTTGGTTTATAGGTCGAACGTGCGCGCAAGATCCAACGTTTCATGTCGCAACCTTTCCAGGTCGCCCAGGTCTTCACTGGTTATGAGGGCAAGCTCGTGTCCCTTAAGGACACCGTCCGTTCCTTCAAGGAGATCCTCTCCGGCGCCCACGACTCCCTTCCAGAGTCCGCGTTCTACATGGTATGCATTCGTACAGGCGTATTGTTCGCTGCCGTACTCACCTCTAATCTTACAAGGCTGGCACTATCGAGGACGTCAAGGCCAAGGCTGAGCAGCTCGCTAAGGACATGGCCTCATAAAGCGTGTGCATAGAGCATGGAGATGGTCGATCGACTTTTTACACTGAAATTCGTTGATCCTCTTAGAGTAGCACGCTTTTCGCAGCCCAAAAATACAGGCTTTCGCATTGCTGAATACTGCGTATGCTATGAGTGAGACCAGAATACTTATGATGAGAACTGCCAGTGTCTTCAAGCTTGGAGTACAAAGCAACAACGACAGAAAAACAAAGAATAACGACGCCAGCAGGATTCGAACCTGCGCCCTCAAAGAGGAACAGATTTCTAATCTGTCGCTGTAACCACTTAGCTATAGCGCCTTACTTCATACGAGGAGGTGTCAGTATATACTATGTAGTCAGTTATTGCCCAGTGTCTAACTCTTCTGGGAGTCCGATCGTGACTCTTGCCTCCTGACATGATGCCGTCCCTCGATAGCGTGGAGGAGTACCTCCAGTCTGTCGAGGAATACTTCTACTCTTCCCTCTCTGCTGTTTCCTATAGCCTACCCGATGTTCAAGAAGTTGTTAATCAGCTCTGGGTCGACATCTCTCGCTATGGACCAGGCATGCCTGCGTTCCCTGAGGTTCACATTCCAACCCTCGGTGACTTCCAGGTTCCGCCACCACCGCCACCACCGCCACCTCCTCCATCGTGGATCGAACAGTCTGCAAATCTGGCTGGGCGTCATCCATGGAAGACAACTGGAATCGTTGCTGGTGTAGTTGGTGCCGGATTACTTGTTGGTTATCGTCATTCCGTCGCGAAACGCAGTCGACGGTTGTACACCTCCCAGAAGGTCCATTCGGATGAATGTCGTCAGATCGTTGGTGAGTATGCTCTTCATTGTTTCAATACGTAGATCCAATTAATTCTTTCGAAAGTGGTCCTTGGTGGAGATAGCCCATATGCTTCGCCACTGATTCTCGAGCTTGAGAAGAAAGGGTATATTGTAGTCGCAAGTGTGGCTACAGCAGAGGCAGCTGATGCATTGGAGGCACGATGCCATGGATATGTCAAGGCTCATATTCTTGATCCATTCGAGGTAAGAATACAGTTCTGCCCGTGGTTATATCCTCTTCTAAATCCCAGAACAGCCAGCAACCATTCCAGCCTTCCTTCGTTCCTTTTCAGCCACTCTCTCTCGCAAATTCCCCATCAACAGTCCCGGTGACCCCTACGCCTCCCCATCTTCTATTCCTTACGTCCATTCAATCATCTCCTTGCTCTCACTCTCTGCTACTGTTCCGTCGATCAATGCTCCACTGGAACATATCTCGCTCCGAGATACATATCTTCCATATCTCACCGCCACTCAAATTACGCCGCTACAAGTTATCCAGTCACTCCTCCCCCTCCTACGAACGGGATCCGCTCGGGGCAGAGATTATGGCAAAAAATCTATCATTGTCTGCTTACCCTCAACCGATGTACGTGTTGGCCTGCCTTTCGCATCCATCCGAGCCATGAGCGCAGCTGGCATGCTCCGCGCAGTCGAAGTTCTTCGCAGAGAGATCAATGTTGCGTCCTTGACCGAGAAATCCGACTCGATGCAGAACATCAAGGCAGTTGTTGTAGATGTTGGCACTTTCGATACTGGAGTACCGACCAAGTCTGTTCTTTCGGAGGGCATATACAAGTCGATGGAAGATTGGACCGCGTCTGAGAAAGTCGCATATGGGCCTGCCTTTGTTTCCATCATGGACGAGAAGCCTCTGGTCAGGTCGCGCTGGGAAGGCCTCAAATCTGTTTTCAGGACCAACTATAAATACGGCTCGCCTCGCCGACCCACTGACCTCGCTGTCTTCGCCGACTGTCTTGTTGGGGCCGTCAGTGGTGGCCGCTACGGACCTTCCTTGTTTCGTCTGGGTCTTGGATTGGGCCGTATTCGCAACTGGATTCGTGGCGAACGGTTTTCAATCGGAGCTGGTGGTAGGCTCTTCCTCTTCAGTCTATCCTCCCCTTGTTTGACTAAAATTGCCTCCGCAGCTTCCACCTACAAAGTGGCATCTTACCTTCCGTCTATCCTCCTTGACGCGCTACTCAACTTACCGCACTTCCTCATCGGCATACGCAATCGCCTCCTTCCTGTGGAGCCATACCGCCGACCCCCTACCAATCTTCCATCACCTGTGAACGCGAAGAAGGTGGATACTGTGGTCGAGCCCAAGGAAGTGTCGTCGCGTTCTACCTCTCCTGATGTTGAGACGAGCTCTGACGCCGACGTTGAGAGCAATGCAGGAGATACGGTTGCAAGTAGCTGGGTCAGTCTCCACAAGAAACAGGCTTCTGAAGCTTGAAGTTTGAAACGTTTTTGCCCTCCCGAAGAACTCCCCGTCAATTTCTTCCTCCCCATAACCTTGACTTCTCTCCACTCTGTCGAACACACCGCATCATTGTATTATTTGAATGTAACTAGTATTGACTTCATTGTAACCCTCTAACAAACACCCCCGACATAGCTACATATCTAACAATTTTTGTTGACGCCCTGTAACAGAGCGGTCATCTGATCACACTTACACCTTCACCTTGAGCGTACATCACTGACCAATTGGTTTCGTTCGACAGCTTTCATTATGGGTATGATACATACAGCATGCATTTGCAAGCAATGGCTGATTATGCCCTTCTGCGATAGGCCTTTCTTTGTGGCTCGTTCCTGATAAAAAGAACGCAGAAGGGCTTATAACCATCATGAATGCCGTCGAGAACAACGGATCACTTTCTCCTGCCTCGTATCCGAAGTTCTACCCTCACATTACGCTCGCAAGCTTTCCATCAACCATGGCAAGGTGTCTGGAAACGATAGGGACATCCATCCCAACCCTAGGAACACCCCTGCGATGTCATTTCGCCTCGGTCCACGTAGGGTCGCACTACTTCAGATCGGTCTACATCGCAATCAAGCCAACGTTAGAAATCGTTGACCTACGTAGGCGTGTACATGCAGCGTTGGGCGTCGAGCCGAGGACGCCGTCCTTTCCACACCTGTCACTCTGCTATATTGACGATGCTGACGCGGAGAAAGGGGAGAGAGAAGCCTTCTATAAGGTCCTCAGAGAAGGCGGAAATTTCAAGAAAGAAATAGGATGCGATGGGAAGGACACTGGTGTCAGTCTAAATCTCTCTTTCGATCCAGAAGTGGAGAATTGGTCGGCCTGCGTGGATGTTTCTGAGGTATGGGTAGCGCAATGTGAAGGTCCGGTGGAGGGATGGACGGTTCTAGGGAAGTACCCTTTGGCAGAATGAAAAGGACATGGTTCATAGTGGTAAATAAGTAGATATACTATAGCAGCTCTGGGTGGGGGGGGGGGGGGGGGAAAGAGGTGTGAACAACATAACTGCTTATCTGCGAGAGAGGAAAATAGGGGTCAGTCGGTCACCAAGCGCACGTGTACGTTACACGACGCGTAAAGTGTCGCGCTTTTCAAATTAGAAAGTGACTGTGCGGTATTCTTTCCTCAGGCATTGTACGACCTTCCCACACCTGTTACACGGCCGGGGCTCTTTTTCGAACATCTTGGGACAGTCGTCTTTGTTGAGGTCGTAGCCGTCCTCCTTGGCGGGATGGTAGTCGCCCATAAAACCGCCCTTCTTGCCCCTATGATAGGAACGCGGCTCTGGAGGGCAAGATCATAACCCACCATCGAGAGTTCAGAAAGAAGGGGAATCTACCTTGAGAGCAGTACGCGTATCCGAAATTCGAATCCTGGCAGTAGCACGAGCCTTGCAAACGGGATCGGATCAGCTGACGATGAGAGGAGCAACTTGTGACACACCTCTAGAGTTACTGCAAGAGCAGCTCTCGCAGGTTATGTAGCCGCAGTCCGGGCATTCCTGGTCGACTTCTACCCAGTCTTCTTTGAATCTCTCGTTGCATCCGGTGCAGTGGGTCTTGCGTGGCTTTGGAGGCGGGTTGATCTTCTCTTCTTCCTCTCGTTTTTGCTCCATATCGTAGACCATGCGCTGGAGTTTGCACTCCTTCTTGTGGTGCTTCCAGTTCTCCTTCTGGCAGGCGCTGCTGCTAAACGGCAGAGACGGTGTGTGAGCGACGTTTCAACAGCAAAAGGAGGCGACTCAGAAAATTGCCTCACCAGTAGGTGGCAGTTTTGCACCCCGAGCATTTCTGATTCGCGTCTCGCAAGCAGTCGCTGACCCAGCAAATACCCATTTCGTGGAGGAATGTCGAAGACCACAAAGTAGGGTAGGAAATGGGAAATGTCCTCGTTACACGTTCAGTAAAAGAGTAGGCAGCGGCCTTTGTTGATCTCGATTCTGTGCGTTAGCCCCCATTGTCACAGGGTTTTGACGGAATGGGTACCGTGCCACAATAAAAGGACTACGTATGTCAAAGTCCAGTTCCATTGTTCTTCCGTTATCTATTGGGTGCAAGAACGTACTAGGAAGTCCTCTCATATGGCATAAGTGAAACGAACAATCGGACCAGGGACTTGACCTGAACATCATACTTGAACAGCCACAAGACGTCAAATACCCCCTCTCGGATTCCCGGTATCCTAAGTTCTCTCCTTCATCTCGAACTCAACAACGGTACCCTTCCCGAATCTCGCCCCCATGCCCACATTGCAAGAGGTGTTCGCAAAATACAATCTTGTTGTGCCCCAAAGACAAGATCAAGCGAAAGCCATGCAATCGAAAGGAAACCCGCTTCATGACTGGTAGATGTTATCCACTTTGTACATGTTCGACGTGAGTTCCGCTTTCGTGTCGTCTCCGTAGATCTTGTCAACTTTGTACATCGTTGTGGGAGGGGCATCTTCCACCTTTGCGAGCGCAGGAGTCGAGGCAAGTGCAGTAGGAGTCGACGCGACGGCGGGAGTGCCTGCTTTGCTAGCAATACCCGCGGCTTTGCCATCAGGAATCTTGAAGAATTCGCGTGCACCGTTCACCTCATTGTCGTAAATGTAGTAGCCTTTGCGCTCAAACTGGATAATGTCGCCCTTCTTCAGCTCGAGGACGTTGGCGTCAGCATACGCGTAGTCCTTGAACTCGGATACGGGAGTGACAAAGTCAGCAACGTTGTCCTTCTCCTCGAGCTTCTTTTTGCTGATCAAGTAGTCGAAATCGACGAGGACAACAGGCGCAAGAAGGTGGTCAGGCGTAGGCTGGGCAAGCCAGGTAATTTTTTTCTTCGTCTTGCGGAAATCGCCCTCGAGATTGAGGTCCATCGTAATGGCAGTCACAGCTCCCGATGGATTGACTTGCTTCGAACGGACTATAGCATTTCCCCAGTCCATGAGGGTTATCTGTATTATGCAAAGTCAGAGACATCCTTCCGACATGGGCTCCACTTCACCTCTTCGTTGTCTTCAAGTGAAGTAGCATCTTCCTGCTCCAGCAAAATGTCCGAGGAGTATACTGTTTTCTTCTCGCCAACCTCGGCATTCTTTTTGTGCTTGGGCACCAACTTGACCTCAGGAGAGGATGGTCCGCCATTGATGGTTACAGGGACACTACAACCATAATGAGAAGTCGGAGGAGGATTTTCACGAAACGGGACTAACGCCTTAGCCTTGAGGACTGCCCAATGCCGCGGGGCGACAGGGTCAATAACCTTTTTGTTGATTGTCCAGATGGAGTCCCATTCCAACGACACAACGGCTTGAGAGGGACCTTGGGACAACATGAACTGTGTCAAGGCCTCGATCGTCATTCCGCGACGGCGGATACCTATTCAAATCATTAGGTTTACCTGGAGCACTAAAGAGAGTGTCTTACCGCGAACGGTTGGGAACCGGGGATCGTCCCAGCCAGAGACGTACTTCTCAGTAACGAACCAGTGTAGCTTGCGCTTTGACAGGAGAGTGTAGATGAAGTTAAGGCGACTAGAAGGGCTGTTCAGGCGGTGCAGAGACCAAGCAAGGCTACAACATACCTGAAATCCCAGATATGAACTTTTCGAACACCTGTAGCCTCCAACATCCAGTAGTATTGCGCGTTCCTATCACGGTATTCATTCGTCCTGAGGGCATGTGTGACTCCTTCGATAGAGTCTACAATAGGGCATGCGAAGTCGTAGGTAGGGTAAATCTTCCATTTATCACTGATAGCCGCCTTCAGCAATTGTGGCGCAAGAAGCTGAAGATAAACGTACCCAGTACGATGATGGGGTAAAATGTTGCATCTGTAGATAACGGGGTCGCGCATAGCCTTATTGTTATCGTCCACGCTTATCTTCGCCCTAATGCACCATCTTTGTCCCTCAGGCGATCCTGTCTTCATCTCTTCGAAATGCTCCAAATTATCCTCCACACTATCGTCTCTGTGCTTCGAGGCAATTCCGTTGAATCGCTCGTCGCGCATCTATCAAGAAATACTTCATTCAGATCCAGAATCCCAAGAAGTAAAGGCATATGGCACTTGTTGTTGTTCAGTGTCGTCTGCATACGCCTTGCCATCTTTGATGGCCTTGACTCCGTAGTTGTAGAGGGTTTCGAAGTGGTCTGACGTATGCGTCACGACGTCTCCGTGAATACCGAGAAGTGTCAAATCTTCTAAGATAGTGTCTTCGAATTCAGTCTGCACGAATGTTAGCCAATAAGCCAAAAATGATTGCAACTTCCACACACGCACGCGTTCTTTAGAGGGATTGGTATCGTCAAAGCGGATGATCAATTTCCCGTCATACATTTTTGCGAAGTACTGATTAAGGATCGCGGCCTTTGCATGACCGATATGGAGGTAGCCACTGGGCTCGGGTGGGAAGCGCGTCACAACCTGCCCAACCACGGCATTTTGCAGTCCAAGGGCAAAGCCAGCCGCGGTCTTGTTGGAACGGGCTTTGCTGGCTTTCGCGCTGGCTAAGTCGGAAAGCAGAGTTTGCGTAGATTTCAGGGTATCAAAATAAGTGAACCATCGGAGGAGATGTGGGTGTTGGTTGTTCTTGAGAAGACCCAGGACTTTGATGTTTCCTGCCAAGGGTTTCAGCTTCGGCATTTTCGGAATATCCAGGTGGACGAACCCTTGAGAGAACCCCAAAGCATCCAATCTACTGCAGACACATCATGCCCGACGAGAAATGTGCGGAAAGCGAGATGGTCGTCAAGAGAATCTAATGCAGCGACGATTTCAGGGAACGAAGCCAAAGCTCGAAGGTTTGTAGCCAATGCGAAAAATGCAAGGGCCTAAATGCGTCAGATGAACGATGAGGATTGGCGAGGGCATTACGAAATTACCTTTGCACTATCATCAGCCAATCCAGCATCTTTTGCCAAGGTCTGAACGATCGCCTCTTCGTTCTCGAGGGTAGTTCCACTACCGGCCAGAGTAATTGTGGTTGCGGCGTCATCGAAGTTGATATCGGCCTTGCCAGTGTGTGCTGCGATGCCGGTGGCGGCGTAGGGGAATGGTGTTTGCTTTGTCGGCACTGTCAGCGACGGCGCCATGGTTGTTGCAGAGGAAAAGTCAATCCGATTAGATGGAGATCACCTAACGACACTGACTCCAACGATTGAGTCAGTGCCCTGGATTTACCGTCATCCTTTCGTGTTGGTCACATGCGACTATAAATTTCACGATCCTTCTATGGTCTAGAGCAATTAATTCCTCTCTCTTTATTTCTCCAATTCCCTCCTTGTACCATGCCCATGCTGTGAGTCCATCACTCTTCACCTCAAACCACCATCATCTCAACGCACCCAGAGGCGATCCGTCCCAAAAGTACCGACCGTACACCCCTTTGGTGATCTCAGACCGTCAATGGCCCTCCAAAACTTTCACAAAGGCTCCCATCTGGCTGTCCACCGATCTCCGCGATGGAAATCAAGCCCTCGCCAATCCGATGACGATCGAGCAGAAAACCATCTTCTTCCGGCAGCTGGTCAAGTGTGGTCTCAAGGAGATAGAGGTCGCATACCCGGCCGCCAGCGACACAGATTTCTCCTTTGTTCGTGGGTTGATTGAGAACAATGAAATTCCGGACGACGTGTGGATACAAGTGCGTTTCCTTCCCCTGCCCTCGTTTGGCATCGCCTGAAATAGTGTCCATTCAGGTCTTGACCCCAGCGCGAGAAGACTTGATCAGACGGACCATAGATGCAGTTGCGGGCTCAAAACATGCCATCCTCCACATGTACAATGCAACTTCACCAACATTCCGAAACGTTGTCTTCCGCAACTCAAAGGAACAGACCATTGGTTTGGCAGTCCACCACACCAAGCTTGTTCGCAAGTTGACCGAGGAGTGTACCCGCAAGCAAGGCACCGTTTTCAAATACGAGTACAGTCCGGAGACATTCACACAAACAGAGCCAGATTTTGCGTTGGAAGTTTGCGAAGCCGTGAAGAGGGCGTGGGGGAAGGCGGGTACTGGAGACGACCGCATTATCTTCAACCTTCCTTCAACGGTCGAAATCGCCCCTCCAAACCACTATGCTGACCAGGTTTGTTCAGAAGTTCCCCTTTTCTTTTTTTCTCGCTGGACTGATTCAGCCTTCAGATTGAAAACTTCTGCCGCAAAATCTCAGAGAGGGAAAAGGTGATCATCAGTTTACACCCCCATAATGACAGAGGTAATGCCCCAATTAGCCAGTGCTGAATGCTCTACTCATCCTGCCTAGGAACTGGCATTGCGTCAGCTGAGCTCGGGACTCTTGCTGGAGGAGACCGCGTTGAAGGGTGTCTATTCGGCAACGGAGAACGAACCGGAAATGTCGACCTCGTCAACCTGGCACTGAATTTGTATAGCCAAGGGATCAACCCAGGTTTGGACTTCAGCGACATTCAAAGCGTCATCGACACAGTTACCCAGTGCAACGACCTTCCCGTCCACCCTCGACACCCATACGCTGGGGAGCTCGTGTTTACTGCCTTTTCCGGATCGCATCAGGACGCTATCAAGAAAGGGTTTGAAGCGCAGAAGATCAGACATGCTGAAGCAGCTGCTCAAGGGAAGCCGCAAATTTGGGATGTGCCGTATTTGCCTATCGATCCTCTGGATCTGGGGCAAAACTACGAAGCTGTTATTCGAGTCAATTCACAATCGGGCAAGGGCGGCATTGCTTACCTGGTCAAGCAATATCTAAATCTCGACCTCCCTCGCAAGATGCAGATCGCTTTCTACCAAGTCGTCCAGGCGATCTCCGATCGGGAAGCAAGAGAAATGACGGTCGAAGATATCACTACTGCCTTCCGCTCTACGTACCACTTCGGCGGCCCGAAGTATCAGGGAAGGTTGGCTCTCCGTAATTTCAAGATCTCTGCTGAACCGATTGAAGACCCTACCGACGACACGGAGGACACCCCGGACGAACGTCGTCGTTTCGATGGCACTTTGTCTGTCGACGGTGTTTATCGAGTTATTCGAGGCGATGGAAACGGACCGCTGTCTTCCTTGTTGGACGCCCTCCGTGTACATCTGGACATCGAGCTCGCAATCAGAGAGTACACGGAGCATTCCATCGGGGAGGGGACTGAGGTCAAGGCGGCCTCTTACGTGGAGGTAGTCCCAGCTGGAGACCGCAAATCTAGTCAATCATGGTGGGGTGTTGGCGTTGACTCCGACATTGCCGGTTCTGGTCTTCGCGCTTTGCTAAGTGCAGTGAACAACGCCATCGGTGATCGGCCTCTACCTGAACTCAAACTGAGCGTTGGTTTCAACGGTCGTTCGGGTCAAGCCGATATTGCCAGTGCCATCGTCAATGCACTCGGACTGGAACTCCCAAGACGTCTCCAGTCCGCTTTCTTCGAAGTGGTCCAACGGTCAGCAAGAGATGCCGGCGGCGACATCTCATACAACGCGTTAACCAACCTTTTCCAATCCTCTTATGGTTACTATCCTTCCGGCGGCCCAATCTTGAAGTTTCAACTGGGCAACTTCAAACTGGAGCACGTCGGAGAGGGCAGCGCACGCCAGTTTGTCGGAGACATCATCGTCGACGGAGAGAAGTGCAATGTGAAAGGAGACGGCAATGGTCCTCTATCATCCGCCTTGTCAGCCTTGCATTCGCTGATCGGTGGAACCCTCACGGTTCGCGAGTATTCCGAACACTCGATTGGTGAGGGAACGGAGGTTGTGGCTGCCTCTTACGTGGAACTCCTGTATGAGGTCACTGGAAACAAGAAGGTCTCTGCATGGGGTGTTGCCACCGACACGGACATTGCTGCGTCTGGTATCAAAGCGGTGTTCACTGCTGCGAGCAATCTGGGAGTTGTAGTGAAAGGCCAGGTTAATGGGATCTAACTTGCCAGGCCTTTTACTCTCGGATGGAATTAAATCTTGCTTCATCAAAAGTAGTGCATACCTCTACGTATCTTTGTGTAATATTCAAACGAATGTATAACACTCTTAGCTTGTGTTATACTTAAGTACATGAGTCGTAATCTGAAGTCCTTATAAGTCACGTGTAAACATATTTCAAGGTAAGTACGTAAACCAACGGGCTCTATCTTGGTTCACTCTCTCATTCAGAGGCGGTCTGACTCCGGCGACAGACACGCAGCCTGCGAAAGCAGCACTCTTGGTCTACAACCACCATCATGTCGAAATCCAGCCCGCCATCAAGGCGGACGTCATCCAGGTCAAAGCATACGCAAGCCTCTTCGCTTTCAGCTTCCGGCGCTCCCTCGAGTTCACGTTTCCTCAATGCACTCAATTCTATGAATAGCAACTATCATGGCTACACACAAGCAAATCAAACTGTTCCAGAAGAGAACGACGAGAATGGTAGCGATGGAGCTCGGGAGGACGTTGACTTGGAGGTTGGGCGGAGTAACATCTTTCATAGCTCACGCGAGGGCAAACCTTCAGCCAGATCTCAGGGGAAGCGTCGAGTGGCTTGGGATGCTGGAGCATCTGAGATGAACGCGCTACATCCTGATATTCACAAAGAAGATAAGCTCCACGAGCACGAATCCTCGGACGACGAGGTGCCACAGAGCTTCAAGGTCGAACCTACGGCTCCACAGCGTACCGTTTCGCCCAAGTTCAATAATCACCCCCGGAGACACGAGCCACGCAGTCAGGCTTTATACTCGACGTCTGGCAGACAGCTTCCCCCCTTATTGCCCACTGTGGTCGACAAATCACCCTCTCCGGTTTCAGCGCCGCCCAAACCCTCTGAGATTGACGATGAAGACGACCCACAAAATTATTGGAAAGATCGGGCGGCCAGTCAAGGATCGAGCTCTGGCTCACGGCAAGCAAGACCTACGATGCGCGGGTTGGATGACTATGAGAAAGCTCTGTGGAATTGGGTCAACGTCTACAACCTGGACGCGTTTCTACAAGAGGTGTACTATTACTATGAAGGCAAGGGAATTTATAGCATCGCCCTGGCTAGAGGGCTGAACCTATTGTGAGCACCTTCTTTTACAATTTGACGATTTCATGACTCCGTTACAGGACGGTTGGTTTTGTTATCGGGTTCTCGACGTTTCTTCTTGGTTGCATAGACTATTCTGGCATACGACGTCATAAGCACACGCAACTCTCCGATGTAGTGGTCCACCACTGTGTTTCTAGGTCAGTGCTTTCCTCTAGGTGCTTGCACTCACCTCGTCCTTAAATTCAACCTTGCAGATTTTCGGGATTTACACTCTTATTTTTCCTGCTATTCACCGCATTCTATGTCTGGCAAATAATATCGTATGCTTTGGGCATTAAACGTCTCGTCGACATGTATAATTTCTACACTCATCTACTAAAAATACCAGATGTACGTAAATGCATGCAGCAGCCTCCAATATTTGACTCATGCGTTGTGCCTAGGCTGATATCCAGACAATATCGTGGTCAGAAGTTGTTCGTAGGATAGGTGCTATTCGGGAGGAAAACCCCTTGACTGCGCTATCTTCGAAGAAAGGGAGAACAAGTGATGATACCTCCACCGCGAAACTGGATGCGCATGACATTGCCAATCGGATAATGCGGCAAGAAAATTACTTGATTGCGCTCTTCAACAAAGAGCTGCTAAACCTACGAGTACCCTGGCCTGCCTTTCTGAAACTGTTCCTGTCTGAAGAGAATGGCAAAGGGAGGATGTTAACGCAGGCCTTGGAATGGAATCTTCGTTTTTCCCTTATGGAGTACCTGTTCGATGATCACGGCAAGGTTAGAAGAGTGTTCTTGAAGTCGAAGAATAGAGAAGCGTTGATTGAAGGGCAAGTGATTCCTATGTACCTCATTTTGTATGGCTAACATTGTTCCATCAGCCTGAGACGGCGTTTCATCTTTATGGGCATTCTGAACGCCATTTTTGCACCGTTCATCGTTCTTTATTTCCTTATGTATTCGTTCTTCCGGTATTTCGAGGTAAGCTCATGTTCGTCTATTACCATGACGAATCGTTAAGAATTTTGTGTAGCAATACCACAAAGATCCATCTTCCGCTGGTGGCCGTCGATACACCTCGTTCGCCCAATGGAAGTTCAGGGAATTCAACGAACTACCTCATGTTTTCATCCGCCGATTAGATGAAAGCTACCCCGTGTCGAACATGTATATTGGTCAGTTTCCAAACGAGAAAATGACCTTAGTGATGCGGTTCGGCTACTCTCCCTTAATTCTCTTAAATCGCTCGACTGAAGCCATTTAGATTCGTTGCCTTCATTGCGGGCTCATTTGCTGCCGTTCTCGTTCTTGCCACAGTTATCGACCCGGAATTGTTCCTCAGCTTTGAAATCACAGAACACAGAACGATCCTATTCTATCTCGGAGTTTTCAGTGCTGTCTTGACAGTCGCGAGGGGCATAATACCTGAGGATAATCGAGTCTTCGATCCCGAGTTGCTCATGACGGAGGTCATCAACTATACCCACTACATGCCGGAGGAGTGGAAAGGCCAACTTCACAGCAAGAAGGCAAGTAGTACCACTTCATCCTTGTACACACCTCTAAAACAATGCTTTCAGGTACATCAAGAATTCGGCGAACTTTTTGCATTGAAGATCCTGATTTTCTCGCAAGAAATCGTCTCCGTCCTTCTTACGCCGTTCATCCTGTGGTTCTCACTTCCGGAATGTGCACCAGCGATCATCGACTTCTTCCGCGAGTTCACCGTACATGTCGACGGACGAGGCTACGTCTGCAGCTTTGCTGAATTCAACTTTGAGCGGCATGGGAATGTCAAGTTCGGTGCGCCGTCGAAGGCGAGAGCAAACAACAAGAAGATGATCTCGAATGAGGGTAAGATGGAGAAGAGTTTCCTGAACTTCAAGGTACCTTTTTTGGTCTTTTGCCCCTCGTGATTCAGTAAGTTTGCCTGACATATTTTCTTCTAGGCTGCCAACCCAGAATGGAATCCCACCGACCCATCCGGCTCTCTCTACTTGAGTAGGATGGCAGATATTAACGCTCTCCATCGGTACCCCTACTACCGCCAACGGCCAGTCCCGGGCTTTACACCACCATATGAAGGTGCCCTTCATCCAGCAGCATTCGAGGCGTCGTACATGGACAACGGGTACGAATACGACCAGGCGCTCAGGCAGAGTCGATTAATGGCGCTACGGAGGAGAGGAGGCGGAGCAGGAGGGGTATATGGGCTTGGGCAGAGTATGATGGGTATGTCGACGTTGATGGCCACGGGCCCTGCTGCTGCATCGGTGTATGCGGACCCTGCCCATGCACGGAGTGCGATCCTAGGCGATTCGCAGGGGAGTGCGTTGTTGGGTGCTGCCACTGCGGGCACGTCTACAGGCACAGGTGCGTTAGCCTCGTCTTCGGCGACGGTCAAGAAGGGCACCAGTGCGATTCATCCTGAGAATCTTGCGCTGGACGGTGGAGTTGGGAGCGGGCTCGGCGAGTCGTATGTCGATGGTGCGAAGCCCCGGTATGGGGCTGGAGGAGGGAAAGAAGAAGAGGAGGAGGAGCCCGTAGAAGATGGCGGTGTCTTGGGGTTGCTGGCTCAGATCTATGGCCATGGCCGAAAGGATGGACCTCCTGTCGTCATGTAGCTAGTACTACATACTTTCTGCCTACTCACTCGGCGTGTTAACATGGACTAAACGCCGAAACATGATTCCGTCATCAGCATCCACCTTGCTTACAATTCATGCATCGACATATAGACATCTTCCGCATTTCACCTGCATTGCAATACTAGAGCTTTCAATTTAAGATAGTGATAGTTGAAGTGCGTGTGGGGGCCATAAACGACACATTGAGCGGTAAGGAGCGACTGTCTATGTTGCGTATGATGGTAGCGTAGAGTCAGAGGCGCGAAACCGGAAAGAGCAATGACCTGTCCAGGAGACATAAAAGAAAAACGATCATCGGAGTATATCTCGCGGTTTAGGAGGGATTTTGACACTGCGTAGACTTGATGAACGGTAGGCACCCAGGCTGGTTGAGGCAGATTTGAGAGCTTGGGCATGTGCTCTTCTAAGTTCTTCGTCTATCCTCCACATGCCTTTGACGAAGGCGTCGAGATTGAGAGCACCTTGGCCCGTCGTATCGCATTCATTCCTTATAATAATTCAAGACGTAAGGACGAAGTTCATAGCCATCACGTAGGAAGGAAAGACGTACCAAATCTCTGCCAGTCGCTCAGCATCCAGCCCAGAACGATTCCATATTAGTCTTACGATACCCCCCTCGAGTTTTTCATCAGCAGCCACAACCTCGTCTATCTTGTCCTCCAGCTGCACCTGCGTCTCCGCCGCTGCTCCATCGCCACCCGTGATCAGATCCACCGACAGCCCACGCCACCCTGCCGCGCGCCGTCCCCTCGCCTCACTCGGACTCAGGAGTGCAAGTTTATCCTCAGACTTCCTGTTTTCTGCCCTCCGCCGCTGTAACACGTTCTGTACGAAGAGCGGCTCGTACCGCTTACGCGCGGCGAGCGGGACAGGAGTTGGCCGCTTCGCTTTCGCTGCGAGGCCGATGATGGAAGGCGGATTAACCATACGCGAATGAGATTGTTGGGACTGGGAGGAGAACGAGTACGAGCTTGAGGCGAAGCTGTGCGTTGTTGTCGTGCTTTGTATTGAAGAGCGGTCGGAGGAACGTGAGGGTGGGGGTGGGGGGGCTGCGCGACGAGGTGTGTATGAGACTGGAGGTGTACTCATGCCTGAAAACGCGGGCCGGATAGTAGGCGAAGAGGGTGTCGATCCAGAAACAGACGTTGCACGCGATACTGGATATGAAGGAGGCGGCGGTGGCGACTTTATTATCGACGATGGAGGCCTCGCTGAATTCGGCCGCTCCGGAAGTTTTGGCGGGACAGGTTTCCGCTTCGCCATTGCTTTCTCCCATTCCATTCTTATCAAATGCTCTGTGGCCGGACTTGCGAGTGACGACTTGGATACTTCCTCGTAGGACTCCGAGAGGCTGATGGAATCTGCGTCACTATGCTTGCCGTTCGGCGGCGGCGGCGAGTCGTGCTGCTCTTGGTCGATGGGGAAAGTAGCGATGAAATTGGCAACAGAACCGGGTGTGCTTGGGTCTGTGTCTGACGAAAGCGAAACAGAGTGAAAGGAGGAAATGGATGAGGATGGGGCATGGCTTGATGAAGAGTTGCGTAAATGTGGGTCAGAAGGAGGATAACTGTGTGCGGGCTCGACAGTCAACGAATCCGAGCGTCTAGGCGGATACAAGAAGGTAGCTCGCGACTGCGGTGGGCTGGGTTTCGACGAGGAGGATGAAGGAGACTTCAGAGAGGTATAGGATGGCTTGCGGGGAGGGAGCTGCGGAGGCTGTTTGGATGCAACAGAAAGATTAGTGCTTGGGCTTGGGCTTTGGTCTAGGAGGCGACTCGAGACTGATGAGTGGGGCCCTATTCTGGCCGTTGAGAGCAGCGACGGCACTCGTTCGCTTAGGGCTGAAAGCCGGCTGTGTGGGTGTTTTAGTGTTGTCGATACGGCCATTTGAAAGGGACTTTGGCGGCGAGGGTCCGTCATCGACGACCCAGTCCTTGAGGTCGATAAGAGAGGTCTTCCTTCCTAGATTAGGCGGGGATGGTGAGGGCGATGGATGTGTGTTCGTGAATGGGGCGACAGGCTGAAGCCTAGAGGCGGTGGTCGGCGAGAGCGGGGTCTCTAGGATGTCTGCAGGGGTCTTCGAGGACGACGGAGGCGACGACGAGGAGGGGCGATTGGCAGAGAGGGTCTCGAAGTTGGATATGCGCGCCTGGACTGTGGAGGATGGCATGAGGAGACAGACAGAAGAGCGCCACACGACCTTCCTCTTTCAGGAGCCACCATGTCCGATCTCTATGCAGTCGCAGGTCCGTCACGAACACACCCCGTAGCACCCATACTCACCCTCTCCCAGACTTTTGTCTCATCCCAATAGGAACTGGGAACACTTCTGTACTCAACAATATCGTTTTTGA